GGTGTGATTTCATTGGAGCCTAAAGTTACAACCCCTCCCGTTTCGAGTGTGAGCGATCTTGAACCAGCCCGCTTCGTGGAGTCCGGCTAGACCGTTTACGATTTTAAAAATTTCCATCGAAAATCTCCCTCACGCTTCAATGTTTCAGCGAAAAGAGCTGAAGAGCCCTTATCATAGTTATCCCCGCTTTTCCAGATGTCGTTTAGATGCTTAGACGCTGTAGTTTCTCTAACTTTTCCAAATCCTTTTCGTAGTTTGACGGTTATGCATAGAAACATTATCCGAAGTGGTAAAAATCAATAGCTTTGTAGAGGAGAAAGAAAAGTTTTTGGATTTCCTCATGTACATGATCTATCATGCCAATCCCTTTCAAAGCAGTTTGATTTCCCGTCTTTATCCGATAATTTGACTGTCACTCAAAACCTTTCCCTTCATACAAACCTCAATCTTAATCTCCGAATTTTTCCTCCCTCTATTTTTTCCGTGTTTATCCCATTTGAACCTTCGTTTGTTGGCTATTCTCTTGTTTGTAGATCAGACCTTATCAGGTACCGTAACACCACCTTAAAAGGTTAAGTAAAATATTCTTATATTCTAGGGACTGTCAGTTAGTAAGCGATTGTCCTTTCAACTTCATGGATTAGATCAATTCGCTGTCAGACAGTGTAATTTCTTTGTTTCAGTATTTCCCCCATTATCCCTTAGAGTTCCCCCATCAGGTTATCTTGGTTTTCATTACTCTCCGTTGCAACTTTCCCAAGGACTCTCTTATTATGTTTTCTTCATATTCTCATGTTGCACATCCCCTTTATTCTGATTCATCTATATGTGATTCTCATCCACCGACTAGACTCATGCGTGCTCAGATCCATATCCGTATAAACATTCCTCTATCACGTATTTGGTCTGTGTTGTAGATTTATTGCTGTCCTTTCTGTTGCATAGATTGCTGTTATTCGGGGTGCATATTCTAACATTTCGCTTGTCCCATTTTAGCTCTCATGCCTCGTTTTTGGTTGATTAAAGCCTATCATTAAGGCGTTGTCTTCCGACTAAACGTGTGATCTCTTACACCACAAGTTCTCATCAATCATGTGATCAATTCCCTTTCAGTCCGTATGCTCACTGATAAAGACCAAGTGACTACTGAGTTTCCCGGAAAACTTCTAAAAGTGAATAATGCTTGCCCCATTTCAATTTATCCTTCATTATTTGTATCCGGCTCTGCAGTGTTATGTAATTTATTTTCACTCACTAAAATGCAGGCGAACTTAATTAACAAACTTCACAATAAACTAAGGTCATTTTACAGAATTTCATCGCAGAGAGATGATGATTGAAATGTCAGCGTACAACGCATCTTACACCTTTCGCAACGCCTGTATGAGAACGAACCACATTTCCCCAGTTCATATCGCACCGCTCCGATCCTCTTTCTGTCTCAGGCTGTCGCATGCGCCGAGGCCAATGTCACGCTTATTTCACCTTTTGTTGGCCGTGTACTTGATTGGCATTTGGCAAAACACGGTAAACGTACGTTCGAGCGTCTGGAAGATCCGGGAGTTCAGTTGGTGACCAAAATATTCAATTATTATAAAGCATACGGTTACAAGACCGAGGTGAGTAATTGGACTCGACAACATGCTCTCTACTGCCAGTTATTTTTACGCACATGAATCTTCGTTTAACCCCAGTATATTCACAAAATTTCGGTTCTGTCCATTGGAAGAATTGTATGGGTTTCACTTTATGATTGTTCGCTTGCTTCGCCGATGAGATCGTTTGTGTGTGCGGGGGGTCTGAAAGCCGACGCTAACATTGAAAAGTCGTTTTGCCCTTGCTTAAACCCGTCAGCTGTGCTACCGGGAATTGGTATGCCCCCCCATACCTAGGCGACTTATTATCCATTCTTCCTTGACCGATAGAGAAATATTTTCCAGCCGGACCATCATTTCTTACACAGTCCATAGTTCTTCTCCACTTCTGACAGTCCTCCGGTCTGGTTGATTTTTGGTTGATGCGTTTTCCCCATTACGAAAGTGGTCAGGTCAGACTCCGTTTTTGTGCATTCCGGTAACCGCAATCCGTATCAATTCGCGCGCGTATGATTCACAGCCCCTCCGCACTCCCGCGGATGAGGGGTCCTCATTCTCAGGTGCCTACTGAATGAACTATCTGTTCATTCCAAACTGTAATTGTTACGCGCGTGTAGGAGCCTATCAACACTCGTATTCTGACGAATTATTATGGGTATATTCACGAATAACTACAGGATAAAATGTTTGTCTCCTTTCTCTGTTTTAGTCGAACACCGCCCATCCTATACTCTAGTTCACAGCTTTTTTCTAGTTATCCCTTCACTGCCAACATGCTGGAGACCACTTAGTGCGTTCGTGAAATGAGGCACCCTTGACGGACACCGCTGTTGGTGTCAAACGGCGTACTTATTTCGATATAAGACCCTCCCCCTATCTGAAGTCTGTGGGTATAGTGACCTCAGTAAGTTGATGTAATTTTGGGGTATTCCTTTTCGAAGAAGCGAACCCGTAAGGAATTAGCGGTCAACTGGCGGTGGTGGTTCGGTGTCACCAAATTATCACCCCATGGGACGTGTGTTTGAATCCCAACACCATTGTCCAACTTTCCCCATTGTGTGTTGTATGGCAGTCCTAGCTGCATCAGAGTCCTCATCTTGAAGGCCTCAGGCCCGGTGATTAACTAGGCTACAGAATTTCCAACCAATTTCTTGGTAAATTGCCTGCAGTGCTATTTGGCAACGACCTTTGGCGAGTATCCCACTGGTCGCTAGGCAACACGGTCCTGATTATCCGGTGTGACGACCAGTGGAGTATAGAATTCTTTGTTGTTTGCGTATACATTAGAGTTTCATTGATGGGTACTGCTAGGGTGTCCAGCCACTAAGCAGATAAACGATTAGGGTTCTCAACTGAAGTCTTTTGTTCTGATAAGAACCTAATCACAAGGCAGCGGATGAAGCAAGGCCCATTTCCCCGGATCGATTATCCTTCCATCATTTTTTACCGACTGAAACGCCAATTCTAGCCGAACTTCCAACCTAGTGTACCGGGAGACTGGAGTTTGACTAGCCTCTACTTTTCCACCTTCCATGCTTAATTAGATCTGCTTGGCAAAAGCCATCCTGTGTCGTTCGTTGGGTCAGAGAGTTGCGTTATGGTTCCACTCAAGTTCATCAGAAGCCGACTAATGAAAGCAGTGAATCAGCACAGTGAGGATAAGCAAGCAAACACAACGACAGTTAATTCAGCTGGGTTTCAGTTCTTTGTAAATATACCAAGTAGGATGAGGGGAACCCATGGTAAAATTTAAAAAGATTGTCCGTGGTGAAACGTGCACCTCGATGACTGAATTCGAGTAGGCGCTGAACGTTAATATAGTTTGCAAAGTATGTGTAGACTCACCTAAAATCGATCTGATACATATCCTCCACATTCTGAACTGTTGGAACGTAGCTGTTCCGATAAGCTGAGTGTGGAGTGAACCAATCTATGAGTATGAAAACTTAACAGATATTCATATCAGTTTACAAGCAAACCACGTAGCATGCGAGATAAATACAAGCATATACAAACCGTTTGACCAAATGGAGTGGCACAACATACGATTTATAGTCAAGAATATAAAAAGAAAGTATTTTTAATTTATTAGAGGCAACTAGTACGTTCAGATCAAGTAAGAACTCAGTTAAAGTTAAAACCGAGATATTCGCGGTCAAAGGTTCACCGTACACAAATATATAAAACCATAACAGAAGCGCTATTTTATCGTGTACTCTTCACAAGAAAAATCTGTGTATATATGTATATATTTAACACCAGTCTTTACAGATACGGCACCAAAATAACCATGAGTGAACGAAAAAAGCGGGGAGGAGGAACATTTTGTTTGTTTACCGCACGCCATTTTGAGGTTTTTTGTTTATTTTTGGGATTGCAAACAGGAGAGGATACTTTCGCGCCACTGACTTCGGTTCGATACCGTATCCCGCAGTGTCTCCAGCCAAACACAATCTGAATCTTTGGGGCCTCAGCCGGGGAGCCGGGAAACCCCAACGCAAGCCAGATCAGAATACAGTCTCTTTAACCCTCTGCACCACGTCATAGCCTGTCCACCTCGCTGTTTCTTCCAGCCTGGACTGATGTCTGCGAATAGTGCACGGTGAGGCAGATAGTGCTCAGGTATTCGTAGGACGTGCCCTAACCACCTAAGACGATGCT